GACGCATGTAAACCTCCTCAGTGAGATGGCCATTAAGAAAAGCATTCTTAACATCCATCTGATAAAGAGGCCAAGAACGAATAATAGCGATGGAGATCAAAGTACGGACAGTAGTCATCTTGGCAACAGGAGCAAATGTTTCCTCATAATCAATACCATACTCCTGAGAGAAACCTTGGGCAACCAGACGAGCTTTGTAGCGCTCAAGAGACCTATCAGAATGAATCTTGACTTTGTAGACCCATTTGCAACCAACCAAGTTCTTACCAGCAGGCAAAGGAACTAGCTCCCAACTACTAGTTTTCTGTAGAGCAGACAACTCATCGTCCATAGCGTGAACCCAATGAGGGTCCTGACATGCCTCTTTGTAAGACTGAGGTTCTGAAAAAGAGTGAATAGCAGACAAAAAAGTACGATAGGAAGCAGAAAAACATGTATTAGACCAACCTAACCTGTTTGGAGGATGACGCGCTCGAGTAGGATATCGGTGTGCAGCAGGATCAGAGTCGGCAGCAGCAGGATCAGAGTCGGCAGCAGCAGTAGGGGTAGAGACAATTGGTGGGGGAGGAGCCTTGCGACGAGAATAAACTAACAACGGAGGAGGAGAACAAACTGAAGGATGAGAAGTAGCTAGAGGTGAAGCAGGAGGAGAAGATGAAACAAGCTCATAAGGAACTGTGGAGATGTACTCATTAGACGGTACTTCAGAAGGAAATGGGTTAATGTGAACCAAATCATCTTTGAAAACTGGAGCAGTGACAGGAGGAAGCTGAAAGTAAGGCAGACGTTCGAGAAAAGAAACATGACGGGAGACATAAAGACGACGGGAAACAGGGTCGTAATACCGATAGCCTTTCTAAGTAGGACTATAACCTAAAAAGACACAGAGGACAGACTGAGCACTAAGTTTGGTCCTATCTTTGCAGGGAAGAAGGACAAAACAGGCAGACCCAAACACATGAAGGAGGGAGTAGTTAGGAAGTTAGGAGAATAAAGCCTCATAAGGAGACCGACCAGAAAGAATGGGAGTAGGCATGCGATTGAGAAGAAAAATAGCAGTAAGAACTGCCTCCCCCCAGAATGGAGCCGGAACTGAGGCAGAGAGAAGAAGAGACCTAGCTGTCTCAAGGAGATGACGGTGTTTACGCTCAGCGCGACCATTTTGGGCAGGTGTATCTGTACAGGAAGTTTGGTGAATGGTACCCAAATAGGCCAAATACTCACAAAACTCAGTTTTAAAATATTCCCCACCCAAGTCAGACCGTAACACTTTAATAGTAGACCCAAACTGTGTAGTAATCATAGACTGAAAGGTACGGTATATTTGATAAAAATCAGACTTATGAGTCATAAGATAAACCCAAATGTAACAGGCGCGGTCATCAACAAATGGCACATAGCATGCAGAATCTCCTTTGGTGAGAACAGGAGAAGGGCCCCAAACATCAGTATGAACTAAAGAAAATGGTATATCAGATATAGAAGTGCTTTTACGAAAAGGTAAGGCTGTCATCTTGGTGAGTTTACACCCCTGACATTCAATAAGTTCACTAGGAGAAAATTTTCCCAAGATACCTGATTGAGCCAAAGACCGTAAGCGGTCAGCAGACAAATGCCCTAATCTAGAATGCCACAAGTAGAAAGGACTGGACAGAGAATCTAACTGAAAAGAGGAAAAGGCAGTTGGAGAGGTTGTTAAAGGTAGATGCAAGCTCTCTACCACATAGAGGTCCCCAACTCTACGACCAGTCCCAATTTGCTGTTTAGACATCCGATCCTGCACAGAACAGATGGAAGAGGAAAAGATAACATCAAAACCAGAGGCGTCAAGTTGACTGATAGATAATAAACTGACAGATAATTTAGGAACATAAAGAACAGATTAGAGACAGCAAACTGTAAGACAGACTCAACAGATATAAGAGACATACCAGACCCATTAGCAGCATTGACAGTAATAGGAAAAGGAAGAGGAGTGCAATTTTGAAGTAAGGAGAGATGGGGAGTCATATGATGAGAGGCACCAGAGTCAAAAAGCCAGACAGACGAAGAAATACCTGAAGAAGACCCAAGCAAACCTGAATGAAGAGGGGAAACAATGGAGGCAGACATAGATGGCTGGGAGGTACATAATGTATGTTGAAACTGACTAATTTGAGTAGTCAACGAAGCTAAGTCAGGATCAGGAGCCGGAGCAGATATAGTAGAATCGGTGGGAGGCCGAATGGTACTCAGAGGAGGAGTGCAGAACTTAATCAGCAATTGCTGAGAAGACGAGGCAAACACAGACAAAGCAGACAAACATCCCTTTTTGGGACAATGATACTTCCAATGACCTCTTTGATGGCAGTAGGCACATTCATCCGAAGCCAGAGACATCATAATAACTAGAAAACTAAGGGGTTCAAGTGTGATAAACCCTATATTCAACAAAATAGCCAAACCAGGGGTTGAAGGGTAATACACAGAAATCTGATGGGGGTAAAGCTAATAAATCCAAAACCATAGTGTAATAATCAGAAGAGTGTTAGGTCTAAATGTAAGATAATTTTTTTTTTACCCTAACCCACAAATATTAACTAGAGTTTTGAAGCCGAAGAACTAGTCTGAAGCCGAGAGAACCAAATCAGAGAAGAGAGAGAGAGATTGAAGCCGAAGTCAAGGAGGAGGGAGGTCGCGTCAGCGAGAGGAGTTGCGAACCAGATGAGTTGTGATTCCAGCCCTGAATGGTCGCGATTCCGGCGATAACAGATTTGGTACAATGAGAACTCGAACGAAGGTCATGCAAGAGCCAAGAGAACTTCGATCGATCAGAGAACTTTGATAAGAAAGCTTTGAACTTGGTGAACACGACTAGAGAGAGGGAACTTCGCGAATACCAATCGCGATTCTAGTGCTCAACAATCTGCGACTCAAGTGTCATGAACACCCAGCAAAACTTCGAGAACCAGATTTGATCAAGGGAGAAGATGACCCACAACTCACATAGAGACTGAAGAGGAAGACAATTTCTAGGGTTCTGGTGGTGGCTCTGATACCATGTAAGATTCTTGAAAGCTTTTCTGTATATTCAATTGTATCAATTACAATCATACCTTAGAATATATATGGCCCTAACTCCTAAACCAAAAAGGAAATACAAATACAATACTATCATGACTCTAATACAATCATGCCTCTAATAGGACTCTAAGTTTCATTTGTAAGACTCACAATATATTTCACAATATATTCTCACAGAGATAGGCTGAAGGGAGGTTGGAGGGCTTGGGAGTTCGACAAAGCTGAAAAGTTCGAGGGAGAGAGAGAGTATATAAATTTCTTATGCCATGACAGGTCCTTTTTCCTTTCACTTGTTTTGTCCTCTTCACTTTATTTCATATTTATAAACAATGGAACTTAGAAGTGAAGCAAAGATATTGAATTATGATTCAACTAAGTGGCAGCCAAATGGGAAATATAATAGATCTAAGTCAAAACTTTGCAATGACGTTCTTGGTTTAGTTCTTTTGTTTATTTGGACTTGGAGCCCAAGATATGTTTTGATAATAATTTATTCTCTCTCTCTCTCTCTCTCTCTCATTTGTTTGATTACTTTTGTTTTGTTGGCAGACTACCAGATCGAAGTGCCAGAAATGCCTTGTTAATTGATTATTCCTGATCTGGTAAGTTTGTGAAGATTATCGAATCTTGATTACTTATGAGTTGAACGTGCTTTATCTTGGAAAACCTATGTATATGTATGACATTTTCAACATCTCAAGAGTCCATTGATCATGATTACATCTTCTCTTTTGTGTTTATGAATTCTGTATGCAATTTTTCTTTCTTTTGCTCCTTGCATAAGGAATTATATTTTAAAATGTAACATGACGTTGTCTCATTTGGAATTTTAGTCAACTCTTTAGCATAAAAATACAGGTTTATATAATAATTTTTTTAGTCTGGATAATGACAATATCACTGAGCTCAGCATGGAAGTCTTGTTTTTATTATGAAGCTTCATTTTTTGTATTTGTGCTTTGGTGCTCTCTCTCTCTCTCTCTATGTGTGTTTTTAATGCAAGGTGCTAACTAACTTATCTTTTCACAGGGGTTAGTTGGAAAAAAATAAAAAATAAAAAAACCTTGATATAGGAGAAAAATCCATTTGTGTATTCTACAGGGTGTATTGTATGACATTGATTTGTTACACGACAGGTTCCCTAATTAGGCAAAATTTCAACTAAACAAACCTTTCTCTCTATTACTTAGGATTGGCTATATGGTTCCATTTTCTCTAGTTGGTTTTGTTTGAAGTTAATATCAGTGATCTTGGGTTCATAAGGTATGAATACAAGTTTTACTCATTTATCATTTATCTGGGATTGAGATCAGTTGTGTAAAATAATCTTATATAAAATTTGTCAAAAATTTGAATTGATCTTGGCAGTCATGATATGAGAGCAAAATTTGGGTGTAGGAGCAAATCAGATTTACAGCCATTTTAGCATGGTTTCATGAAGTCATATCCTCAAAACTTCGCCTGATGTGGTGCCCAAAAGGCCTTCAAGCTGCCATGATGCTTGGGTAGTTGTAAAGATATAAATTCAAAGCCATGGGCGGCAGTGGCGGAGCCACTATATGCCCAGGAGGGGCATGTGCCCCCCCAACTTTTTAAAAATTCCCTTCTGTCCTAAGGTTTCGAAATTGTTTTGAAGTTAATCCGTTAGGAAATATATATAATATACACATATGCTCAATTTTTTTCCATTATTCATAAATTTGATACACCATTGACTTGAAGAAAGATATACATTGATTCCTAATTTTCAAAGGTGTTATATTGCAATTGTTAGTAATGAGTATTTTAATCCCTTGATGAGCATTGGTTCTAGTGGTAAAGGGATGGGGTTTGCACAGGTCTTATATTCTAATTTTGCATAGCATTATAATAAAATTACACAAAATAAAAGAAAAAACTATTAATATTTTAGAAAGGAAGGTAAAAATTACCCAAAATAAAAGAAAAAACTATTAATATTTTAGAAAGGAAGGTAAAAATTACCCATTATCCTTTAGTGCAAACTTATTAAATAACAAAAAACAATAAAAAAAAAAAAAAACAAATTTAGTGCAAACAAATCAAGGACTTAGGGGCACTTCAACTTCAATTCTTCTAGTAAAGCATTCAAATTAGAGTAAGATGATCCACCCTTTTCAACAGCCTTCTTTGCCATATCTCCCAATGCCCTTGCTCTGCTCCTCAACTCCTCACCTTCTTCCCCAACCATTAGTCGAGTCACTGCCTTTTCTATGTCTTCCTTCTTCACAAATACCTTACTATCATCGGGCCATTGACACCACTCCTGAGCACCTACTCCAACTCCTATTCTCAGTATGTCTGTCACCAACTTTTCATTGTAAAACTGCTCAGCAAAGAGCGGCCATGTGATCATCGGCACTCCTGCTGTCACTGCCTCCAGTGTCGAGTTCCATCCACAGTGAGTCATAAACCCTCCAACCGCTTCATGATCGAGTATTAGCACTTGTGGGGCCCAACCCCTTATTATTAAGCCTCTCCCCTCCAACCTCTTCTCAAACCCTTCCAGCAACCACTCTTCCTCTGTTTTCTCCTTCCTTACCACCCAAATAAATTGCTGCCCTGAAGCTTCTAGACCCATTGCCAAATCAAGTAGCTGGGCAGTTGAAGATCTGGACAAGCTTCCAAAGCACACGTATAGAACCGAGTTAGACTTCTTTGAGGCAAGCCAAGTCAAACACTCATGTTCATCGATAGAGGTTTGGTTTCCTCTACAAGATTTATCTTCATTGTCTCTGTTGCAGAGTGAGACCGGACCAATATGCCATGCCCTTCTTCCTAGGACCTTCCTGAAGTGTTCTGAGTATGCCGGTTCAAGCTCATGGAAGCTGTTTATAACTACTCCATAGCTTGACAGCTCTGATTTTATAACTTTTTCGATCATCTTGGTTAAGTGGTTTTCAGTTCCTTCTCTCATGTGATCCGGAAGTTGCCGTTTTGTCAACTTTATTGTGTCTGGAAGGCCGGGCACAATGAAGTCTTCTGAGTCAGATTCAATGTGTTGGTAAGGTTTATGGCAGCGCAAGGCATGGTAGACAGAAAGAGCATAGGCGCTGATTCCATAGAAAACCAGCCTTGGAATCCCGAGCTTGTTGGCAACTTCAGTAGCCCATGGAAAGAACAAGTCAGCCACGAGGCAATCGGGGTGGTCTTCTTCAAAGAGCTGTTGAAACGGTTCTTGAAGAAGCTCAGTGGCCTTGTAGATTTTGGGGGACATTTCCCGAGAAGTGACGGAACTAAGGTTCTCACATCCTTCTGGGAGCCCAGCTTCTACCAAAGGGAAGTTAATAAGGCGGATACTGATTTCAAGGCCGGTTTCTCTGTCCCTTTCGATTGTTCTGGAGAAGAGAGCAGCGTTGAGGGGTGTTAGAATTATGGTTGCTTTCACACCATGCCGAGCAAATAGTCTGGCCATGTCTACCATTGGGATCATGTGGCCATGAGCCATCATGGGAAAGAAGTAGATGTGAAGCTTATGAGGTTTTGAACCCATGTTGCCTTCTAGGAGGAATAAGAACTATAGGATAGATGATGAAAGAGACCTAAGAAGCACCGAAACGGACACAACACTGACACTTCGATACTTATATTTTCAAGAAATTTTTTTTGCAGAACACGACACAAGAAGGAGAGGAGAGAGAGAGCTAAAACAATGTGTTCATGATAAAGTGGTAACTGTAAGAAGGACTAGCTTGGATCTTTTCTGTTTTTTTATATGCAATCTCATGTTCTTTCCCTCTTCACTTGATTTGATATTTAAACACATTGGAAGATGGAAGAGAAATAGAAAATTTTGTAGCTTCTTTGTCAAGTATTAGCAGTGGCCTTACGGTATTGTAATCTCTTTAGTCAAAAGTTTCAAATTTTTAATTGACATGTCTAGTGTTGCTGGTGTCTGTTATTGACTATGGGTTAATCAAACAGTGAGCTCTCTCTCTCTCTCTGACTTTCTTGGTCTAGCATTTTGTTTTTTATGGACTTGGAGTGCAAGAAATGTCTTGATGATCACTTTGTCACTTTTTCTCAATTCGATGAGTCTTGTGTTATTTACTTTTTATGAGATTGTTTAACTAGAAAAATTATTATTTATTGTTAGAATAATGTTCTATATCAATTATTAAATCATATAACATTAATATAAAAGTGATAGATTTTACAATATAAAACTAGTATTTGTCAAATTTAAACACCACATGTACTTAATACTAGTTGGTCCCCGCGCGCAACGCGTGGGGGTCATTCTACAGTTTGAATGTAAGTATTTTTAAATTGTATTTGGTTTATGACTTTACGAAATGAAATGTAATTATATTTTATATTTAATTTGCTATGGTGTTCCATGTTTCTTCATTAATTATTATTTATAAAGCTTTTTTTATAGCTGTTGAATTGACACAGATGTAACTATGGGAGAGTGGTGTACAGAGGCTAAATTTCAACGTAGAAGGTGTGTGTTGTAGCACAAGTATTAATCGATAAATAGTGAGAATTATTTCATGTAATTTTGGTAAATATGTAGAAAATCTTGCAATTATTGTTTACTGAATTGTTTTGGCTCTCTCTCTCTCTGACTTTCTTGGTCTAGCATTTTGTTTTTTATGGACTTGGAGTGCAAGAAATGTCTTGATGATCACTTTGTCACTTTTTCTCAATTCGATGAGTCTTGTGTTATTTACTTTTTATGAGATTGTTTAACTAGAAAAATTATTATTTATTGTTAGAATAATGTTCTATATCAATTATTAAATCATATAACATTAATATAAAAGTGATAGATTTTACAATATAAAACTAGTATTTGTCAAATTTAAACACCACATGTACTTAACACGTGCGAGTCGTTCTATAGTTCGAATAAAAGTATTTTTAAAATTGTATTTGGTTTATGACTTTATGAAATGAAATGTAATTATATTTTATATTTTATATTTAATTTGCTATGGTGTTTCATATTTCTTCATTAATTATTATTTATAAAGCTTTTTTATTGCTGTTGAATTGACACAGATGTAGCTATGGGAGAGTGATGTACGGAGGATAAATTGCAACATAGAAGGTGTGTGTTGTAGCACAAGTATTAATCGATAAATAGTCAGAATTATTTCATGTAATTTTGGTAAATATGCAGAAAATCTTGCAATTATTGTTTACTGAATTGTTTTGGGTGAAGGATATATTATATGCATCTTAGTTTTTGGTTGTTAGATTGAAGGGGGCCCAAAAAAAAATTCAACTGTTGAATCGATGCATATTGAATACTATTATGGGTTATAACCAAACCTTACCATATTCATAATAAAAAAGTAATTACTATGAGTCATACACATGTAATTATTTGTAATTATTCAACACTGTTAGTGTGATTATGTACAATGTGTATAGATATATCCTTGTCTTTTTTAATGTACAATATTTTTAATTTTGCGTGATAAAGTATTGTCATTGTATTGGAACTTCCCATATTTTCCTTTGATGTGGTTGCATGTTGCATCTATGGGAGAGTTGCCTTCCTTTGTGTATTGTGTAGAATTGTCTCGATTAAGAATTTTGCATCACCTGCTACCCATATCTTTGGCCATTCATTTTTGGCTGAGTTAATGGCCCCGTTTGGTGGAGCTGAGAAAAAGTGATTATAGATTATAACTTAACAGATTATGACTTATAGCTATGAACATAAGCGGTTAACCTGTTTGGTGCAGTTGTGGGATTATGAATTTAAGCAGCAGAGTAGTGTTTGGTTAATAAGCTGTAAAATAGGTTTTTACTGTATAATTGTCATTTTTGTCCCTTATATGATATAAAAATAATTATTTTGTCATTTTTTTCAGTTTTAATTTAAAAAAAAATATTTCATTAATAAAAGTTAATATAAGTAGTATTAATTAGTATCAATTAATATAAAAATTGATACATTTGCTAAAAATGTAATGGAAGTATTATTGTCACAATTATTTTCCATTATAAATTAATTAGTATCAATTAATT